CAAAGAAAGAGCTGTGCCTTTCACTGATAGACTTCTGGTTCCTGTTGCTGCAGGCTCCTGAGAAACAATACTGCTGGAACTATAAAAATAACAGTATATTCAGATGCAGAGAAAGTAGATTTAATTTCTACATTTCCATCCACAGGTAAGGGCTGTGATGTCTCTCTTGCAGTGAAGTACAAGATCATTTTGCTTCCCATTTCTTTGGTTTTGTTTAGAGAAAATCCCCGTCACATTTAACAAAATACAATCCAGACTCAGAGAATTTCTAAGGTCTTGTTCCCTCCCTGCAAATCTTAAGCTTGCAAATATCTGCATGACTGTATTTAACTCAAAAGGGGGAAATCCACACACACAGATTATACTTAAACATACCTTGTCAGTGTAGCTCTTCCTCTCCCCTTAGCACCTGGATGTATTTATTGTTTGTGAAGATCCTAGGCTCTGCCTCCTTCTTGATCTACTGGGAAAAAATTCTTGCTCTCCAAGAATTACCACAGTCACAGAAATGCAACTTATCTTCCAAGAAAACTTCTAGATTGCTATTCTCAATCTAGTGGAAGCAAAAGCTGCTGACACACTGCTGGATCCATGCAGTGAGATGAGACTTAGATGAGAGCAGATGAGAATCCCCAGAGCAAGGGTGGACAAGTTTCTTTGAAGTTAAAAGAAAGAAAAACCACGAAACTCAGCTCAGAACTTTGTTACACAAACACCACAGGTGATAGGAACTGATGGCAGGAAAAAATAGGGAGTGTCGTCAGCCACTACTGACGATGATTACTGATACCAAACCTCTCAAGTTGTTAAGATAAAAGACTGAAAGGACACGGCGTTTGCAGACAGTCAGGACTTCGGCTGTGTTCATGAAACACACACCTAATGCTGACCTTGAAAAGCCTACAGCAATCAGAGCAGAGTTTTGGGGCAAGCCAGCTGTGCTCAATATTAGCATGATATGAACACCTTAGCAAAAGAAGATCCTTTCTAATGAACTTTTTGTCGCTGCTGCGCGGTTCAGATGGTCTGTCCTTTGTTATGGAAACCATTCTCACCTATTTTGTAAGGGAATCTTTTTGACAGCTCTGCATCCACCCCCCCACCCCCCCATCCCCCACCCCAGATGCAAAACATCTTTGATGGTTACTCCTCCTTCCCATGCCTGTATCTGAAAATGACACAAACTGCCAGACGTATTGCTGCAGCTGAGCTTTGCTTGCGCAAGACCCAGCAATGAGGGAGAAACTGGGTATAAATTACGCTTGTGTTTCTTTGGTCCTAGGATGAGCTGCCAGCAGTGCAGAGGCAGCACTGGCAGCTACAGGTCCCTGAGAGGTTGTGGCGGCCAAGCTACAAGACCCCATATGGTGTGAAAACCCCCTTTTATCTATAGTATCTGGAGGTATTGTGATATAAACACTTGCACCTGCTTTCTGGCTATGTTGCACAGCCAGAAGAGTGGTCATGAGCTGAACTGACTCCAGGATCTAACACAAAACTCTGTTCATTGTTCCCAAACACTTAACGTAATGGGGAAAACTAATCTTACCTGTCTGAAGTAAGTAAGTGGAGTAAAACAAGGAATTAATGCTACTAAGCAAAAACAGAGATTTTAAAAAATATTTGTTATTCTGTGATATGTTCTCTGCTTAGCACCATTCAGAGGTAGTGCACATATGCAGCATTACTAAGAAAATGTAAACAAGACAATTTGAACATTGCTTTGCAGAGTCAGGTCCATTTCCTGGAAAAAATCAGTGTACAGCTCTGCACTTCACTGGCATGTCCAGTTATCAAGACTGAACTACGTGCGTTTGGATGGAGTTTCTTCATGGTCCTTTTTTTTAATTGTCTTTTGACATCCAGACCTAATCTCTAATCAGATTTATCTTTGGCCTCAAGATCCAAGATTTCTGCAATCAACCAAATTAAATGCTTTTACTGACATCCACAGTTCTGCAGAGAATTAAGGTCTGCAACAGTTTTCCATTCCCCTCGCCATGTGGCATTTCTGAAAAATGTTTTGATTTTGACTTCTGAATGTGGTGTTCACAGGGTGCTGTTCAGTAGCCACTTCAGTACAGAATATAAAAGATGATGGAACAAATTGAGGTTTAGCCTCTTATTGAAGGTAAACCTGAAATTAATCCCTAACTGGTAGGAAAATGAGCAGAAATCAGAAACCTCTCACAACTGACAACTGAAAAGACACATCCCAAAATATTCATCTTTAATTGACACATTGTTCATTCTTGCAGGGTTTTCTTTAAAGGAATTATCCTGGAAATGCCACCAATAGCATTAAATGATACTTATTTGTGTTATATGTGGTTTAGCCCTTTATTTATTTATATTTTACCTGAAAATGTATTTTCTTAGAGACCTTATAACAGCATTTCTGCATTATCAGTTCATTTTGTTCTCCTCTTTCCTGGATATATTAGCCAGGAAAAGGAATTCCCAGTCTGTAACAGACAGATTAATTCACACATTTTACTTTGTCCACATAGAAAAATGCAATTTCTGGATCATTGAGGCATATGGATTATGAACAAGACACTCCAAAAACTAACTATCCAGACGGGAATATACTTACAAAAATCTTTTATGTCAAAGTCAGGATTTCACAACATAACACTCTAATGCAAAATCCAGTAGCACCTGAAAGATTAAGGTAGCTGCTGCTATCACTTGCACATACTTGAAAAAGATTTAAGAAAAAAAATGAAAAGTACATTCCCCAGAGAACAGCAAGTGTATTTCAAAATAAAAAAATGTGGGTTCGATTGTTCTTTTTTTCTTCTTTTTTTTTCTTTTTCTTTTTTCTTGTTGTTGTTGTTGTTGTGTATTTCTGTTAGGCTTTTGGTAATTCTTTTTGCCCCCCTTTTTTTTTACAAGACTGTAGTTGCCATATAACAAGTTATACGCGATGTGACGCTCTCCCCTCCGGTGCAAGTTCATGGTCATGTTTTCAGGCTATAGTACTCAACACCGTTTTCTCCTACATATTCCCATAGTTGGTCAAAGATAGATACAATGTGTCATACCTGTCTCTGGGAAAGTAATGTTTCAAACAGGCAAACTTTTATCTTAAAACAGAAGTGGAGAGGCTACAGTAGGTATAACCACCTACGTATGAACTTTAGGTCACAATTTCTAAACACTCACCTACTGTACATAAACATTATAAATAGTCTTAGCAATAGGATTTTATTTATATGTGCACGTATATCCACCTTATCCCACATTTATGTTTGGCAACTATTTGGAAATTCAAAGGTGCAGCCCTCAATAATTTTATTATTTAAAAAAAAGAAATTAAGTGTATCTACTCTATGAGAAAAGAAATTCTCAAATATCAATTTCCAATTTTAAATTTAATTTCAATAGGAAAATATTAAAAATGTGCACATCTAAATTTTTCCACGTTCTTTATATACATATGTGTGTGTACGTATACATAGAAATACTCATGTACCACACATATTCACAAAATTTAAGTGGAAATATTTCTGTCCACTATTTTCCCACATGTAAATGACATCATATCTTTAAAAATGTCAATAATAATATCATTAAAAAAAATATTACATTTATTCCATCATCAAGTTTCTGTGTTTTTATTCTTTCTTCATCTTTATTACGTCCACTGAGCATTAACAGGCCAGATTCTCCTTGTACTTCCACAGATGTTATGCCAACTGAATGTTGCTGACATAACATCAAGGACACATCTGGTTTACAGCAGCTCAAGTGACAGGAGAATCAGGCCCAAACATCCCCAAGTAAATTAAAAACTGGTCATATCTGCTCATCTGGACCTGATGAAGATAGACACACCACCATCTAAAATCCACTAAATGAAAAACATGTAGCTTACCACAAAGTTTTCAACCAGTAGCACACTGAACCAAGCTCCCCCCACCCCTTTAATAAATAAAATGAGTGAGAGAATACTCTAAAAATATGGAGAAAACTTAAACATTGTGTACATGTACATAATGTATAATACATGATGGTTTAGCATTTGACCTAAACCATTTTCCTGACTAGTCAGGGGAGACCTGATAAATCACTGGTAAAGAAAAAAACCAGTATTTTAGAAATAAAGCATGTATTTCTAATATAAATGAGAACCTGTGTGTATTATATGATATATACACACAGTACACACAAGAAAACAAACTTATCTTCTCTAGTTTTGAATAGCAGTCTCTAAGTGGAGAAAATCGTGTTGTACAAATTTAATAAGCAGCTAAATTTCATGTTTAACATTCAAATTAATTTGGGGAGCAAACAAAGGTCCGTGCATCTTTTGACTCTGAAGTCTGACACTCATTCATACATTTTAAAAAAGCCCTCTTCAACATTACAAGCAATTTATGGCAAGAATGTACTTTGATGCAAGACACATGACACTTGGCTTACCTTTCAAAGAGGTTTTTTTTAAATAAATCTATTATATAAAGAAATGTGTGTTTGCCAAAAGTCTGTTAAAATTACATCAAAACAACTTTAAAACCTGCTCACTGAGGATAATTGAATTCAATTTCCTGTTTTTAAACATTTAGTTAACAGTTCAGAATATTGCCTGGTGTAGTTTCAATAAAGATGTGATATGAAGACCCATAAAAGAGTAAACATGTCTCCATTTCAATTTGCTATGACAACAAAACTTCTAGAAACAGCTTTCTTGGCTGGACAAGTTCCGTGTATGAGCAATCCCTTGCAATAGCTTTATGTCCTTTATGCAATCTGTAATAGAACAGTGCTCCCCATAAGCCATTATTCACAAAACCTGAAATTCATGTGACATTCTGAAAAAGTCTCCTGCAGAACAGGTTAACAGTTAATTGAACATACATATTCGATATATGTATCAAGGCCAGAAAACAAACACCTGGCTATTCCTTGTTATCTGTGCATGTCAAATTTTACATTTCAAATTCTCAGGGGTCCCCCCCCCCCCCCTTTTTTTTTTCCCTAGTGGACTCACCTTCCATCATTGGTTGGCCTCAAAATATAGTTAAGTGGAAGATAGTATCTCACTGTAAATACATGGAATTCATATGAAAAAGTAAACCTTACATTGGACAATATTGTAGAACACCAGAGTAAGCTCCATAAAGAAATACGGTATCTTCCAGTGTGTGTGTGTATATATATGTGTGTGTATATATATATATATATATGTATATGTATATATATATACATGTATATATATATATATGTATATAAAAAGCAAAAAACAACCAACCAACCAACCAAAAAAACCTCAAAAGGAAAAACTTTATACAAGCAGTTTATAATAACTTTGTTTCAATTAAAGATGCAACTCTCTCTCACTCCTGGCAAGAATAAATTGGTAATGGCACTGCTTCTCCACAGTGCAAAGTATCCTGAGAAATTATTAAGAACAACAAAATACAGGGCTGTCATCACTAAGTTCTTGCACAAACACAGCAATTAAATATCTTAAATAAATAAAACAGCAGATAACCTATATTGTGTCTATCAAAAAAGGGGGTGTGACCTGGGACACTGCTAATTCTTCCATTGCTGATAATTAGAAAAGGATTGCATTCAATTACTCTTAATATCTTTCAAGTTATCTGTGGCCAATAATGTACAAGGAGGTAATTTGTAATTCAAGTTTTTTTGTTTGTTGTTTTCTTCTTCAACTAGCTACAAGCTGAGTTCTAAATTTTACATTGAAATACGACTCAAATTTAAAACAAGCCCTCTCAGAGGAGCATTTTCTAATTTTGTGCAACTTTGATGCAGAGCCCAACACAGTCCTATGAAGAGAGACAGTGCATCTTTAAGCTGATTGGCACTGAAATCCCATTTTCTTTAGCTGCATTCTATTAGCTTGGCCAAGTTATCTCGTAACTCTGTTAGTTCAAATATTTTTCCATCAAGAATTTCTAAAAGTGTCTTCAAGTTATTGCGAAAAGCTTCTTGCTCATTCTGACTTTTCTCCAGACGTTGCTCTAGGTCAGACAGCTGGCCTTCCAGGTCTTTGTTTCGAATTTCTACTTCCTTCAGAGAAAATACATAACATGTTAATGTGTTGTCTGCAAACAGAAAGCAGTCTAACCTCCTGTTGATATTCTTGTGCTATTTTTGTCAGCTGGTTTTTAAAACAATTTGTTTGTTAAAGCCAAAACCAGAGCCTAAATTGTTATTACAATTGCATATGTACTACCACTTCCTCCATTTTTTTCAGTAATTCATCTGAAGGACAGAAACTTTTGGAGAGGGATAAAATTGAAGTCAGTGAACAATGGATGCATTATACTTATTCAGGTAAGTTATTGCTTCTATCATTCAGAAATGTACCACCTACTGAAAACAGCTTCACAAAGGGTTACTTAAGTTCAAGTATTCCCCAATTTGTACTACATGAATTGCTCAAGGACATAGTCTCCATTAAATGGTCTCATACAGAAACCCATCCAGAACACTGCGTTATGGATGGAGGAGTACTGCCTTACCGCTGTCTCACATTATAGGCTTTTTCACCCTGAAAATTAATACAGAAACGTAAACTAGCAGGACTGATGTCACGGTGACACTGACTGTAACAAATTTAAACCAGCAAGTGCAAGCAGAACGCCTTGTCTCGCTGCGCCGTGCCCCGGAGCATCCCCTGCAAGCCCCGCCGTAGCGCAGCTGTGGGAGCCGGGGAAGCAGGCGAGCCACCAGTGCCACAGGGACAAGCTGTTCCCATCCAGCGGGCGGGAAGACGAAGCACACGGCTGAGGGGATCTGACCCCGAGTGAGGAGGAGAAGCTGCCTGGAACCAGCCTGCTGAGACCCCTCACAGCCCTGGCCTGCGCCTGCCAGGGGAGGGAGGTCAGGGCTGCTCCGCTTTGTGCAAGCCGGGTGCCCTCTCCTCTATCAAATTACTAATGTAGCAGTCACATGGGTCTGGAATAGCGTATTGTTACTTCTCCCATTCATTGCATGTCTCGTAAATTCATGCTGAATTTCCTAATTTCAGTTATGAAGAACACTTTCAAAAGCAGCACAGGGAGAGTGTATTTAGTACACCATACACTCTGTGCAGCCATCCTCTGGAAAAGTGCATAGTGAATTCATATTTACATACATTAACATTTTTTCAACACTGCTTCCCTTTACAGCAGCTTTGTGTCACAAAGCTTTAACGGGCCTGCTCTGAGTTCTTACAACGACTAGTTTCACACAGCCATAGGGAGCGAGATCTGGCAGCAGTCACTGCTCCAAGCATCAGTGACTCCTCCTTCTGCCCTCCCACTCTCCCACTGTTTTTGTTATGCTTCTTCTGCCTCCTTCAAAGCTAACAAATATATTCATGTTTACGTCGGAGAGATGTCAGCTAACCGTAAGAAACAACCTGACCCATACAGAATACGTATTTGGGCAGTCAGGAAAGAGTAACAGGTATAAATCAGCAGCCTGGTGTCGAAGTCCATGGCCCAAGACACGTTTCCACCCATGAGCAGTCCGATGGCGACGTCGATCGGCTGCTGCGTCCAGGGCCAGAGGAGGGATGGGGTGATGGGGCCAGTGCTCAGTTTTGGCTCCCAGCCTCTGCAGTGAGGGAGAGCTCTGGGACCCCCAGCAGTGGTGCAGGTGGAGAAGGCAGAGCCTCGAGAACCTGATCTCCTCGTAACTGTGGCTGCTTATGCAGCCAAGGGCTACATCCAAGCTGAACTGGAATACCTCCCTTACTTCTTGTTTGTAAATGGGCAAGTTAAAAATTACAGACGTTGGGGCACTGGTCTTTAACAGCACAGCTGAGAGCAGGAATTATCCCTTGCTGCCAGGACCAAGAGAAGAATTAGTTCAATCTGTTTAACACTGAACAATACAGTAGCCAAAGCACTAAAGGAAGCTGAAAAGAGTATTTGTAGAAACAATATAAACTAAAATAAACACATGCTTATGTAGTGATTAGCTACCCCACCACTGCTACAAATGACAAGCTAAGTGATTATAACCCAGCTGTACCCTCTGAAGGCTCTCCTTCACTGAGCCTGCTCCTGCCCTCCAAAACGAGTACTGACAAGTACTGCCTGGTGTGGTGACTGCAAGGGTTCAAGACCCTCTGAGGCCAAGTGACTGCAGTACAGGACAAGAAGGGAAATTCAAGGTCCTCTCAGCTCTGCAGGAATGACACAGTCCTTTCTTTAGCTTACACAAAACTGATAGCTGTTTCTCCATGTTTGCTCATGCATTCTGCTTCTCCTGTCGCTGCTCCTCTTCTACTCACCAAATCTGTGTGCTCTACGAAGTCTGCTTGCCACTGCTCTTACCCCAGAGATAATTAATTTCTATAAGCAGGCAAGCCAGCGATGAAAGGGACCACTTTGGAACAAATCCATGGATACATGGTTTTATTTCATCGTGTCCGGGCCTGAAGAGCATCCCATTGGCCTGTATCTAGCACTGAAGATCATCTTTCAGGCTATCCTCAGACTCTCTTAAACTGAGGAATTGTCCTGCTGTGAGCTGTTACTGTGGGAGCACCCAGGTAAAACTGAAAGCTTTACATTAGATGTACGAACTTCCATCCATATTCAGCAAAAGGTTAACTCTCCGTTGACAGTCCTTGCCCTGTATCTACTAAAATCAGAAGAGCTCCCTTCTTTTGTTTAAATTTCCAGCTTGCATATTTTATTTATATTCCATTTCTGACATCTCTTTCCTAATCCATATATATTTAGCTTCCCAAACATCTCCTCTGATATCCTTTCTCCCATACTTCCTCCTGTTTTATTCTTCTAACTTATGCTTAACATATTTAATGACACATGGGAAGTAGACCTAAATGAAATATGCCAGGAGCTGTTGCTTTTAGTTTCTGGAATATGCTTCTTCCCAAATTTCATATTTGATCATTACACATATTTGCCCCAGATTAGTGTTAATGATTTTTGCAATAGTATTACATTACAAGTTCATGTCCAGCTCATGTGCAGTTTCCTATTACAAATGTCTACCTCAAAACTGTTGCTTCTTGATTGGAAGAAGTGGAGACGTGTCCATGTAATGTAATCTGTTCCCCTAGTTGTGTCATTTCACTTTATTTGCAGTTAATCTCACCTAACAATAAACTGACTCTTCCAATACATTCAGGCCCTTTGCAAGGTGTATTTTACACTGTTTTTTCAAGCTCTTCTTACAGCGGACACAATCATTTCTCATACATTGTCTTCTTTTAGAAAAGAAATACATTACCAACAAGTTATGTTTGTTGTTTGCACTGTAATAATCTTTTGTGGAATTCAGTGCAAGGATCCAAATAAAATATTCAAACCATACAAACCAGCTATATTTAGGAATCAGCCATAGTAATGAAGATATCCTGACTTACTGTGAAAGTCACACTGATCGTGACTCATTGATATGTCTTCTCTACATTGCTAATTAAATTACTAAGTAACAAGGGCCCTGACACTTACCCTTCACAGTGATAGCATATGGCTCTTCATTGGAAATTGCCAATAATGGACTTCTAATTCATTCCCTGATATGAGTGTGTCAGAAATGCAATACACCTTGAAATAGTAATTTCTTTGTATAGCATTTTTCATACAGGCTATATTCCAAAATATTTTAGAGTTACATAATCCATTTACAAGCACAAGAGGGAAAAAATAAAGCACAAGAAAAAAGAGTGAGACGAACAGATACGGACCCTGGAGACAATCACCCTGAAAACGGATGATGAGTCAACTAAGTGAACAGATGTGAGACAGTTCGTCTGGAGCTACAGAAGAAAACACCATTTCACTGACGTCACAGATGAACGGTGAAGTGCCTCAGAGAAGGCCAGTATAATCAAAGCAGGACTCATAGCAAAGCGAAGATTCAAGATCTTTTAGATCGGCTGCATCAGGCCAGTCATAATCTTTAAGCTTAAGAAAGGCAACTTTTAACTCAGATCCTAAATAAGCTTTAAATTTACTTGAATAGAACCATACTGAACTATTTTCAGAAACTCATTGCCTACAATGTGATGTATGGACATATAAACACAATATATACATTTGGTTACTAAAGATATAAATATATCAATACTGACTTTATAAGGTCAAATTTTAATAAAAACTTAGCATTTTCTAATCTTTCATCTCTTACTAGTCTCTCATAATTCTGCTTGCTAAGGATAGCTTATTCCTGGCTCACTATTACTTTTCATATGATCTTACACTGAAATTATTGCATATGCTACTGCTAGAACAATTTCAAACTTTCATTATTATCTTCCTTTTGAGTTTCTCAGATAAGTGCCTTTTCAGCTGAAACTCCCATTTTTAGCCTAAAGCCAGCAACAATTTTTGGAATAGTGGAACAGGCAAGCTCAGGTGTATTCAAAACAATCTTTAAAGATTGTTTAAAGTAATAACATACTTTTTCCAAATAATTTGTCTTAAGAATGGGGAAGAATGAATAAACTCATTTTATTCTTCTGTGGTTTATTCTGTAGGTTAAAATAAGATTCAAGAAAGTTCCAATGCATGTAATGCCTTTCAAAGAATACCTGCTTGATGATTTTTAAGCTGTGGCTAGTCTAATGGGGCTTGCTTTCAGCATAATTTAGGTCGAGCCACAGTGAAGGTTGCCTTTCAGCACTTCAGATTTGGAGCTATTTAATGCCCAAGTTTCCAGGCCTATCAAAACTCTGAAGTCTGCATTCAGAGTTTAACCCATCTAAGCTTTGGGTCAGTCTCATTCTGAAGGCAGATTTAACAAGGAAGGTGCGTATGTGCTGGCCGGTCAGCCCAGCGACAGACAGACAGGAGCTCAGACGTAGCAAGGGAAGGTATACTGAGGGCACACTGATTCTGGTAGGCTGAGGTATCTGGCTTTACACATAGTAAAGATACAGCCAAGAAAAAAACAACAAAAAACCAATGATTCTAAACGATTCCAAGAAAACGTCAAAGTGTGTTTTTAAAGCTCGTACTACACAAGAATGCTTTAACCTTTACTTTCTCAGAGCAAGTTTAAAAGCTGAATACAAATACTCATCCCAACCTGATGATACACAGCCTGACAGTTTCAGTGGCACGCAAGACCTATGGGAAGACTCTGCCATGAAAATGAGACCAGAATTGCCCAGGACATGTATTGATGAAGGACAGCTGCTAGCCTGAGAGTACTCCATGGACTTGTAAATGAAATTTGGGTCTGTTCCCTCAGGTAAAAATAGAAGCTTACAGCAGGTGGAAATTTTGATACAAATTCCTAAGGATCATCGTAACCCACCACTTTGCAATGCAGTCTAACTTACATATTTACGTGGCACCTTCAGTGAAAACAGCACAAGTTGCTGATGTGAACTGCTCACTTGATGGTCATTTTGCCCTTCTCTCTAAAGTAAGATGATGCACTATAGCTCACCTGTAACTTCTGGGTCAGAGAATCCCTCTGTGCCTGGAGCTCTCTGGCATTGTCGATTTCTTGTTTCAATCCTTCGATTTCCTAAGGGAGAAGAAACAACCTTGCTAGCAACATGTTACCTGGCTTGGCTTCAGTGCAGGTAAGCTGGCTACCACTTCTCCTGAGCAAGCCATTGCAATGATACCAAAATTGGCAGTTGGCTACTGCCCATCACAGCACATGAAGTTTAAGCCCTGCTCTCAATACTCTGGAATCACAGTCCCAAAACAGCAATTCCATTGTGAACAAACAAGAATACAGATAAGCATTTTCTTTTATAAAAGTCCCAAGTTTTCCTCTCCCACACAAAAGATCCAAAATAATTTTTTCCTGAAAAATTAAGGGTCCTTGTAATTAGAGAAACAATTTTATACTTTAAATTCTATTAGAATCCATCCTTCTCCATTTTTTCAAGAGAAAAATCCAATTTTCATCTGTGGTCTGCTTATTATGTCACTAGCAGTAGGGCTGAGCATCAAAAAATTGCCTACTTTGATGACTGATTTCTGTAAGAAGAGAGTCTAAAAGAAATGGTATCTTGAATTTAGCAAGAAGAAAGTAACGAGGTACAAAAATAATAAATATAGATAAAATAATGAACGGAAGAGAAACCTTTTCTTGGCTTACTTTCAGGAGACAAGAATAGAAACAGTTAATGAAACTAAAAGGTATCAAACTTTAAACTATTAAGTACTTTTCCCTGGAAGGGGATATTCACCTCCCAGAACTCCTTTCAGAAAGACCTCTTTGCAGCCACCAGCTCAGCATAATTCAAAAGTGAATGGGCACCAAAATGAGAAACATTGCCAACCTGAGGCTAATCTCTTTAGTATGAGGGAGTTTGGAAAAGGCTTTGTTCCTTTTTGGGAGGATATTTTGTAACTACTGTGCCTCTCTTGCATCCTCCCTGGAAACACCTAACAACCGCCCGGCTGGAGGCAAGACGCTGCCAGACACACTGCCACTCTGAACACGCACACCCGTGCTCACTGCATCTGTCACGGAGTGCTCAAGGATCTGGTCTTACACAGGGCAAATAATCCTTCACGTCCTTTTTCCCATCCATAAAGGAGTGATTCTTGATCATTCTGTGGCACAAATCCGCTTTCCTCTAGGACCTGTGCCGGTGCAGGTGTTACTCCAGCTCCTTTTGTTTTCTTGCTGCTGGTCCAGACCAAGGCAGACAGCACAATAAATAGCAAGTTTCAAGCCAGGGGCTTGGCATGCATTTAAGGAAAGGGCTGATCTTGGGGATCATAAAAGTCAGCTACGTTAACATAACATGAAAACCAGACTGGCCTGAAAGAGCCATTGATCTATTACTTGTTCCAAACCTTACTCTCCAGAAAAAGGAAGGCATGCTTATGACAGCTTCCCTTCTTTGTGAATTTGGACTGCATCAGTGTGATAACTGCTCTGTGGTAACTGTTTATGACTCACTTTTGCAAACAGAGAGGCTTGGTAAAAGCGAACAGGAAAACACACTTTTTTATTGTTGTTCAGATACCCAGGTCTATATTTGACTGATGTAATTATATACACAGAAAAATATTAATGATTTCAAAGAAGATGAAAAAAATTTTACTTCATAACATCTATAGGAAATAATACAGTATTTACCAGCCATCACTAGCTTAATATTGAAAGCACTTAGAAAGATATAACAGAACAGCCAAGAATAAATGTTAGCAAATACCGCTTCTTTTTTCTTCAGTGTAGACTCTAACTCCTGTATTGTCTGGTTTAATTCTGTTTTATGTGTGTGGACTGCATTGGCTTGACTGCTCACACACTCTAGCTCTGTCACCTGTTGAAACAAATAGAAGCAATACATACAGAATTAATTTCAACAAATTCAAGGTACTATTACTTCTTTGTATCAATAGCTGCATTTGAAATATACCCTTAGTTCTGAGTCACTTATGTTGATTAAAATGTGTGAAGGTGTTCTTAGGAAGTTAGCATAAAATTCCTTTATAAATTGTTTAGCTTAAAATGGTTGCCATGACTTCTTGGAAACAATAAATTTAATATGCTGCAGTCTGAAAAGAACATTAATTAAAACTTATACTTAACTAAATATTGAAAATTTTATGAAAGAAGCTGAATTACCATTTCAGAAACAGACACGTCTAGATGATTAAACACAGATCCATCCTTCTAACTAACCTCTCCATCTGACACTTTTTAATGTTGCACCATCTTAATCAACTAAACCACAATGCTCACTCACTTCCTAGCAAGCCAATTAACCTTTCACAGACTCAGTTTCTGACTCGGAATCAACAGTGTAATAGCAGGCACTCAGTCACCAATACAGAGCTGCCAATTCTTACTTCTAGTTTCGGATCTCAACTCTCAGTCACAAAGCCAACAGCTAATGGCACAATTTGTATTTGCACAGCTCCTCTTTATTAGCAGAGAGCGAACACTCTCCATCTGCCTTTGGATAAGTTAACATACCTGGCAGTGGTATGCCCTTTTTATTTCAGTTTTTAATCAAAGAGATGTTAATATCCTGCCATTCACTAATAAACAGTTGTCAAAAAATAGCTTCTGCACTGAAGAAATAATATCCACGCAGCTAGAGCGTAAACAGAAAAGCCTGTGTTGATGTACCTCTCAAATGACAGATCAAAATATTAGAGAACTCTCACACTTCATGTCTGTGTGGATGTGTGCACTAAAACCTTTCTGTTTAATAACAAACTGTTAAAATATTAAAACCACCATTTAAAACCTAATAATTCATTTTTTTCCAGAAGATATGAGCCTGTCAATCTTAGTATACATTCTTCAACAGAGCTGCACCATCTACCTACAGTAACTAACCAATCTGGCACCAGAAACTCCTTTGAATGAAGTGCTACCCAACTCTGCAAAGAAAACCTTTAGGTCTCCATTGAACTTTCTTGGAGAAGTAGCCCTTAGACAGAGGGCAGGCATTCTCCAGGACAATTTTATTTCTTAGACCAAAGAACATCTCGAGGAATCAAGGTTGGTGCCCTCCAGCACCGATGTAGTCTAGCTAGTGAAGCCACTGTGATGCCAGTAATTTCAGACTCTTGAACTATTCATAGGCTCAAAAGGTATATTACTGAGTGCAGAGAGAAGTCAAAGGAAAGCCAAGATGAAATAGAATAAAATTAAAACAAAATCCCTATCAACTTCTCCTCTCCAAGTCACAGAGCATGAACTTCCCTTCTGTAACAGCCATGACAAGCCTAGTTTCTTCTGCTGGGAAACTGTGATCAGACTTTTTTGCACATCAGGTTTATAAATGGAGAGAACTGAGATTGCAGCAAATTCTTGGGAGGGGTAAGAGGAATGAGGGATGAGGATATAGCTTGGTAACACAACACCCCACCCCCCACCCCAAAGAACTAACTTATTTGCTGGAATTGTCGAAATATCAGTGCTCATAGCAAAAAGTACTAGCAGTTTGCCACTGAGTATTACAGCTGAAGTCTTAGATAATATTCTTAATTTGCTTCAACTAGACAAAAATATATCTATATAGATTCCTTGTGACTGCTACCAATTGTGACTGTTACAGTATTCACCACTACAACTGCACAAACACAAACAAGCAGAATTGAAACACACTGACTGGGATAAACCTATGTCTACACAGTGTCTGAACTAACATCTAGATCCAGCAAGAATCACAGAGGCACAGAGTAATTTAGGCTGGAAGGGGACCCTGGTGGTCACCTGGTTGAGGACTGTTGCTCAAAATAGGGCCAATTTTAAAGTCACATTCGGTTCTTCAGGGTCTTGCCCAGTCAAGAACCCTTCACTATCTAGCAAGAGCTGCCACAGTTTTACGCAGGTTCCTGTATTTCTGACACTGCTGGTTTATGGAGAGTTCTAGCTCATTCCTAAATTTTGCTGGAACTGTCAAACCCACTCACCTTGCCCACCTTCACCTTTCTGATGCTTAACTACTTAAACATTTCTAAGCTTTTCTCCTGAACTGATTCTTGAATAGGAGGTGGAAGCCTCTGTGAACCCACAGCTAGGACTGCTAGGGGAGCCCAGGGTCAGGCCCTCTCTCACCCTTCGTGAAAGACTGGAATGTGGTATGGCAACCTCCAAGAAGGTCAATCTCTCTTGTAAAGCTGCTGCACTCAGCAATACCCACTGGCTCTTACCAAGCACTGGCACAGTGAAAACTCATTTATACAAAGTGCAAGCGCCTAAACTGGAGAGACAGAAGAAAACACAGTCCCCAAACCACCTCTGTCCTAGCACCTAGTGCCTCAGAGGTGTCTCACCCTGTAACTAAGGAAGCACTTGGACCCCCACTGTTCTCCATGTGGCTTCCTCTGGGCTGCTACAGGCAGAGAGGATGCATGTGTTGGTCCAAGCTTAGAATTCAAGGAGCCTGGTGAACTGAACTGCGGTGTATGAAATATTACTGCTCTCAGTTTTGCGTATTGTCACTGGCTGAAAACACCTTCCGCAACAGCCCCACCAGCTGCATGGCTCACATGAACGCTCCCCAGTATGCTCTGGTCCATACTAACTCAAGACACCTACTGAAATTGCTTAAGCAAACACAGCTAATTTTGCTTAGGCAGAGTAGGGAGTTCACTCTCAAACCTTCTTGCCAACAGAGCCAACTGCTGTCAGAAAGGCAATTAATTACCAACATTAAAAGGGCTGTGATGTCTTACTCTGGTCCAGCTTTTCTCTGGGCAAACGTCCATTGCCTACTGCTTATGCAAGAAAATAATGTGTTGTTCAATTGCTTTGTTTACTGTTTGTTGAAAAATCAGCAAGTTGGAAAAAAAGAACGAATTAAATTAAAAAAATGGGTTTACTTTAATCGCAGTCTTATTTAAATGCCCATTCCTACAGACATCTGAAAGGATGTCAAGTATCTTTATGATGTTACCTTCTTGAACATACCTATATAAAAGAAAATCATATTGCGCCCCTTTGAAAAATATCTGTAGAGTAAGAAGAGCTGCAAAATGATGCAATATAAAGAATATGCAACTGAAAACAGAAGTAACAAAAGATAAAGCTCTAGGCAAAAATCTGGATAGGATCTACTTGCTCTATTTCCTTGTTTCAACTTGAATTTCTTTTTCTCATGACCAGTGATCCAAAAATCATTAAAAATAACTGTTTATGCATTATGCACAGAAGGGGGCATAAAAGGAAGCTAAAATTCTTTAGTCTGACCCTCCCACATGCTATTTTCAGGGACATCTCATTCAGTGTTTCATGTATAGGAGCAAAGCTCAATCAATCATTCAAGCCTTTGCACAGCAACACTGAGCAATGTACCTGTGACTAAGCCTTGTTTCCAGTACAGAATTCAGACTGAAAGAACAGTCTTTGAACAATAACTGATTAAACAAGGTTCTTCTATTGCACTATCATAAGGCTGCACTGACTTGCATATCTGAAAAAAAGTCAATACTGTGGCTTTGTATTTGAGACTAAAAAAGCAAAAAGTATTGTTCTTAGCCTCTGCTTCTTTATTTTGCATTTATCATCCAGGTAAGGATTGCACATAGGGAAAAAAATTGTGAAAGGGCTTTTTAGGGACTATTTAATGAGCTAACTCTTCTAGTGTATGGCTGGCATTATACTTAACTGCATACTTCAGTGAGAAATACATCAGCTGAAATAGGACAGCAAGGCAACTTGTTCTGGCAGAGCCCAGACCTTCTCAGCAGAGGCCATTCTACAGTTTCCTGGAAATTTTAATCTAGGGTCAGCAGCCTATACACAGGGGAGGATGACAGGCAGAAGTTTTCATTGCAGCAGACAGCTAGCACACACTGGACTGCTGGAAAGACTGGAGGAGTGAGGCTTTGGGCCGTATAACACAACAAGAAGTAACAGCCTTGATGTGAGCTTAAGAGAGTGAGTGCCCAAAGCTTCAGAAGACTGAAGAATCTCTCAAAGAAAACAAACCAAATCAAATCACAAAGAAACCAAGAGGGGAGATAGCATCAAATCACAACACAGACAACTACTTCACAAGTAAAGACTTCAGTTAGACAGAGGCAAAGAAGTGGGAATTATAGAAATATTTTGAGTGGTCACCTTCCCCAAGCAATTACTGACCAAATGAATCTGCGCTGCTTGCTGCAGGTTGACTCATTTTTTAAACCACTTTCTTGAGATAAATTTGTACACTTCTGATCTCAAACAATAGTTTTTATTCAGCATCTTAAATTCAGTACCAACAGATCATGAAATTCCTTCTAAACTTCATACAGAAATTAATTCAATTGCTAGAAGTGCAAAGAAAGACAGGTTAGAACATAGAATCATAGATAGAATCGTTTAGGTTGGAAAACACCTTTAAGACCATCAAGTCCAACCATTAACCAAGCACTGTCAAGTCCACCACTAAACCACGTCCCTAAGCACTGCAGCTACATGTCTTTTAAACACCTCCAGGGATGGTGACTCAACCACTTCCCTTGGTGTCATCTGCAAACTTACTGAGGGTGCACTTAATCCCTTTGTCCAGATCACTGATAAAGATATTAAACAGAACTGACCCCAATACTGAGCTCTGGGGAACATGATTTGTGACCAGCCACCAACTGGATCGAACTCCATTCACCACGACTCTTTGGGCCTGGCCATCCAGCCACTTTTTTGCCTGTATTATCAACATATTTTCAGCGTAGCTGTAGCCTATTTTATACCCCTGACACCATTAACTTGTTGCTTTCTAAAGGTATTTTTATCCCTTCTATTTTCTGTGGAATGCAATATCCAAGGTCTACAATTCCAGGCTACTATGCAGAACAGGCAGAGTGCTCATATGCAGAC